CTAGCAGCCACCAGTAATTCGGTAGCAGTAGTTCTAATATTAAAACAACATTTATTAAGAAAAAAAAAAAAGGAAAAACGAAGAAATTAAACCTGGATTTGCTATTTTCGCGTTTCATCGGCGTAGGTTCCGTGTTTTGGACGATTCTTGTCCGTTGATCCGTTGGAAAAATTTTCAACTGTAGAATCATGGAAAAGCTCCGAGCCTTTTCATGCATTTTAATTTATTTTGCTTCTACGCGTTTTACGATTTAATCCTGTGCACTGGTTTTTTACCGTTTTATTTCAAGAAATATAAAATGACGGAAATACCTACCTACTAATACTACTTTTTTATCTCTTTCCTTTTTTTTTTTTTTACGTTAAATCCTTAAATTTTCGAAAATAAAATGAATCACATGTCATTTATTAAAAATAAAAATATCCTTTTAAGCTTCAATTTACTTTTTTTTTTTTTGCCTATTTTCATAAAAAAAATCAAATTTAGTTGTAAATAGTAAACATATTGCTTTTTATTGTATTACTTACTTTGACTACAAAAAGGGATAACTCACCAACGAGGGGTTGGATCAAGTGGCAAGCGGCTTGTTTCAGTTTAAGTAAGGTATCGAGTTTGAGACCTTGTGTACGCAGCAGCTTTCGTTGGGAGATCCACTCACCATTCTGGTGCGCCACAGCTGGTCGAGTCCGGAGTAGTCGGGGCGAAGCTCTGGATACTGGGCGGGAAACCAAAAAAAAACAAAAAGGGATAACTCTTGATTTGGGAATATGGTCTTACATTTAAGAGTTCCCCTCCCGTTAATAGCTAATTTTATTTTTATACAATTTAAAATAAACAAAACATTTCAAAATAATATAACAAAAATTTTTTTCAACTTAAATTGTATATTTTTTACGCAATCCAAATTAAAAAAAATATCATTTTCATAATAAAATATGAAGATAATATTTTATAATTATAAATTAAAAAATATCAATTATTAAATGAAAGACTCTTCAATTACTAGAACCCTTAATTTAGTGATTAGTATATAAAAAATG